GAAAACAACCTAAATGCTCATCAAGAAGAGACTCGTGAAATAAGTGAGAGCATAATGGTCTTTGCCCCTCCAGCACTGTGGACTTCAATTTAGTTCTACACTGCTGTTGGAGGGAACTCACTGATCCATGTTCTCAGCATGGTATTATTCTTCCCACACCCATTCACTGGCTCCCCATCACTTAGCTCATGATAGGAGATCAAACACTAAGCATGGCATTCGGTACCATATTTCGTGATCTGACTTCTGCCTATTCCTCCAGCTTCATCTCCAACACACACGCAAATGCACTAACTAACTGCAGTTCCCAGGAAGTTACACTAATACCAGCACACTGTCACAGAGAATGCCATCCTTCCCCTTGTCTGCTGGACTCATATCCAGACAGACTTCAACACTAAGTTTAACCATTACAATCTCCAAGATTTGCTTAGCCTTATGTTGAGTGTATGGTCTCTTTGGGGCTTCTATAAGCTTCTGTACATACTTCTGTCATACATTATATACGGGTAGAAATTTATAATACATATCTCAACACTGTATTTTTGTGGCTTTTAAATCTAGTTCCTTCACTAGACTTTGAGTTCTTTACATACACAGTACCTACTCTGAAACACTACAGTCTCCTGACAAAGACAGCCATGACAGGTGTACAAGGTGTTAAAAGAACAGAGAAGAAAGAATTTCTCTGCAGGGAGGCAGGAGTAGGAAAGATGCCAGGAAAGGCTTTCAAGAGGAAATGTGAGCTGCATCTTAAAGGATGAGTAGGAATTCACTATGTAATAGGTGAAGGGACTTTTCCCTCAGAATGAGCAGCATAAGAAAAGTCAGAGAGGCATGAAGCTGCAGAGGTTCTGAAATGCAAGGGCAGCCCACTGTGACTCGGGCTGTAGAGTGAAAAGATAATTCTTCAAACCTAAGGCAGCTGTCAGCCTGAAGAGCTTGTACTTAAAGTCAGGATTCTATCCATAATTGCGAACTATCAGTGGACTGTAAGCAGTAGATGACACAATCAGATTACACTTATATGTTTTCAAGAACATAAACTAAGTGCTTTTTAGAATCGTAAGAGTTAAGATCTATGATGCGTAACAAGGTCACTAGATAGGCATAAAAATGTATTTCCTAAATAATATAATCCACTTATTAAAATCACATCTTATTCATCATATTTTACTCATTTTATATAGAAATGCCTAGCCCTTATGCCTTTAAAAGTACACTGAACTGAAGCAGACAAGCCATTTCAGGAGCTATTACACTGGGTATAAAGACATGTGAGGCACAGTCCTCACCTTCATGAACGAAACTCCAGCAGAATAAATGATACAGTTCCACAACAACCCAAATTACAGGCTCTCTGCAAGTGTTATAACAACATGTAGAGAGGGACAGATTTCCCTCTGAGAGCTGAAAAGGCATAAGAGAGGGGCCATGTGAGCTCAGTATTGATTGAGTTAGGAGAGAATACAAACTTAACTAATGTGGTTATCCAATCCTATCCATTCCTAACAATGATTCACTTTCAGGCAAATATTTGCCTAGAAATGGGAGTGACAATGAGAAAACAGATAAAACCAACCAAAAGGAGAAGAAGATATATGGTTTGTAGAGGGTGTTTTTTTTTTTTTTTTAAGTCCCCGTACAAACAAATATTGAGTGTATAATCTCTTCAGGGCTTCTATAAGCCTCTGGGCATACTTCTGTCATACATTATATAGAGGTAGAAATTTTTAAGACACTGTATCTCACACTGTATTTCAACTGTAGGCCAAAATGGTAAACCAGAAAGAATTTTTTTGAGAACTTAAAACTATCATGGAACATAGTATTTTACATATCCCACATTCTTCTTCTACTGTAGGTCCATCTTCCACGGTGGCAGCTGTGCCAATCAACCCTGACTGAAGTTGTGATGAGAAAAGGAAGGAAGGTTTGGGTAGGGTGGTGATGGAAGGACGCTGAATTCTCTCATGCCCTTCAGATGCCACTCTAAAATCCAATTTCCACATACAAACCTTTCTACTTCAGTCTCACAAGCACTTCAAATGTGACAAATCCAAAATTGGTATCATCCTTTGCACCTTCTCCTGTGTTTCTAGCTCACCAAATAACAAGTTAGAAACTTGGGAGAGCCCCTTGGTTCCATCTTCTGCACTCTCCACAACCATCACTAGCGTCACAGCCATATTTTATTGAACGTGAATATGAGCCAGTTCCGGAGCCTAGTTCTCCATAAGTATTTTCTCATTTGATCCTCATTAAAAATCCTATGAGGTAATAGCCTTATCTCCATCTTACCAAAAAGGAGCTGTAGCTCAGAAAGGTTAAGCTTCTCAAAAACACAGTTTGTAGTGACAGCCGATCTTGTCCCACCCCTGTCTAATGCCATGAGATTCTCAGCTTCCTCCCCATACCTAATCTTCCAAGACCTGTCCTTTTTTTGCTCCCACTACTAGTACTTAAAATCAAGCTCTGTTTCTCACCAGGTTGACAGTAATAGCCTCTAGTCCTGAACCTCAAGTAATTATAGTTATTCTCTAAATTGCCAAAGAGGAAGTTCAGAAACTGGCCCCAAACATCAAAATGCTTGCAGGTCTGAGACATTTGTCCTGAAGGAAGTGAGTTCCATGGTAAAAAGGGGAGCACATTCTTTTTTTCTAAATGGGGCAACTGCTTGAGAAGCTCCAGCCCACAGATTCCACACAGCAAGGCAGAACCAGTGGTTTTCAATACAGCCTGATAACCATGTTTCCTGTGAAACACTGGCAAGTATTTAAAAAAAAATGTGAAAACTCTGAGCAAAACAAAATTCACTTGCATGCTAGATCTGGCCCATTTTCACCAACTATATCCTTTGAAATATTTGTAATTTCCCTGCTTAAAATCTTTAGTGGTCTCCTGTAACATTGGGTTAAAAAAACGAGCTGTTTGGCATGAAAGACTGTTACGAGTCAGTCTATTCCTACATCTCCCACTGCATTTCTCATCAGATACCCTTCAAACATTTACCTACTGCTGGACTGAAGTTCTTACATTTCCTGGCATCTCTGATTTTAATACACTCTGTCTTCTCAGAGTGTCCTTCCTTTGATTTACTGATCCTTCAGGATGCCAACTCATCACTCAATCTGAGATGTCTCCTGATATGTGCTCACATAGTACCTTATACTAAAACATACACTGTCAAAACACACCTTTCATCCAGTATTGTCATTATCTGGGGGTCTTAAACACTGATAGTGAATGACATTCTTTGACCACGATGTTATTGGGATGATGTCTGAAATGGTGATTGCAGTATCCTGCTGGTGCAAATCAGCCAGATCTAGCCAGTAACAGCACTCAATACATGTGGGTTGAACAAATGAATCAACTGAACACCACTGAGCCCATGAACTCTTCTCCCCTTGATCCTCCTCAGCAAGAAGTGGTTCTTCCCCTGAATTCCCTCAATATTATGTCCATCTTTTCTATTTTAGAATCATAGAAGGAATAAGAGTCAATCATCTTACCAAATTGAATTCCTTGAAAGCAAGCATCCATGTTTTATCAATCTTTATATCTTCCCAGCACCTAACGCAGCTCCCAGACTCTAGTAAGCTCTCAAATGCTTGTCAGATAAATCACCATAACTCTTAAGTGTTAAGCTTCCACAATTCAATTCTATTTCCTTTTGGTTCCTTATCCAAGTGCAAACATTGCTAGATAACCAAAACTGTTCCACTCTGAGGTTTGCAGATAAATATTATAAGAGAAATGGGAAAGAAATGGTGAAGAAGCACAGACAGCTATCTGATGAAAAGTTTTATTTTAGAAATGAATGACTGGATAAAATTTCTGCTTCCAATTGATTATTTAGTTCCCAAAAATGGGCGTGGTAAATAAAATGTATTTAAAAACATGTACTATGTATCCCGTGTCTATCCCTAGTAAAACACAGCTCAGAGTTCTTCATTTGTATTCTCTACACACTAATAATGGCAAACATTTATCAAGAATTATTCTATATGGCTAGAAATTATAATGCAAAGTAGGTTTAAAGATTATAAAATTGTGGCTTGAAAAGCAAAATAAAATGTCTAGTTTCTCACTGCTGGCAAGTCACAGGAACAGGTTCCTAACCCAAATCTGTGGGTGACAAGTACACATTCTACTCTTTCCTTGGCATTGCCTCCTTGGCCTCAGCAGTACTCTACCAGTCAATCCTGTAACTGATACTAACTGATACTAACTTTTAAAGTCAACCTGAAAAAATATATATTTTTTTAATTTCTAGTACTATCAAATTTGTTCCCAAATGTTTTAAAAATTAAAATCCTACTCATTTTCTATGACATGTGATAATAAGAGTTTAATCAATGAGTTTAAAATACATTGTCTTCTTGAAACGAATTTCACTGAACATTAGAATTTCACATATTTCACCAAAAATTTCCACTAAAATGTCATAGTGTGATCAGTTCAGTGACATTACTCACTGCCCAAAATATTTCAAACAAGGAATGCTCTATATACCAAAGCAATAGCATGAAGATCCATTGGTAGACAGCTTGTAGATTTTATACAGTAAAAATATCTCTTACCTGAAGTATTCCATGGAGAATTAATGAATATGAAACACAATTCCCTCAGGTTAATGATAGGCTGGTTAGTAATTTCATTTGGTAGACTTTGTTTTTTACATTTGCTTCTTTAAGTATTAAAAATATAAACTGCCCTTTCGGTTAGAATGGAGGTCAATTTATTAGATTCATAAATAAGAGAAATCAATTGTAAACTGAAAGGGAAAAGTTTAATGTAATAACTGAATTAAAATTAATTTAGTATCATTATAAACAGAATAAGCACATCTCTAAGGAATATTGTCTTCCCAAAAAAGCAACTCAAAAACACAACTAATGTTAAGTACTTTATAGCTTTTAGAGTTATTATTTAGAAGTTATGCCTTTCAAGACATAGATTAGCCAAAATTATTTCAAGAAATATGATCATCTAACCTTTGAGCTGGCACCTTATCCTGGCTATTCTCTGCCTTAAGACGTAGAAAGCTGCAAAACAAATGTCCAAAAAAAGAAATTCGAGATCTTTTCTCTGTAAGGAGGCTGGACTTGGGTATTTATCAACTTGTTACATTCCCGGAGACTTACACATATTCAACTTTCAGTGCTTTTCTGAAACAAAAAAAAAATCTAGGACATGTTTAAAATAGTAATATTTTAGTCACCATTTTGTTATTAAAAACCATTTGTAACAAAAATATTAACCAATAATTGAAGTTATGCTATTCTTTTATAGTCCAAATTCTAATAAAAATATTTCAGACCTTTTGTGACACTGTATCTTCCAATCCAATTTTCATTTTCAGAAAGTTAATTTTTGGTTCCTAGAGACAGTATCCTTTTATTTAAATGAATGTTGGACAAAACATCTGAAAAAAATCAAAACTTTTGATCAATTAATAATCAAGGTTGGTGAAGTTTAAACCGATACATCTTTACTTACCTGTTTCTTATATATTGTATGTTATGCTCCCTTTTCTCTCCAACTTTGAGAAGGAAATATTAAGTTTTTTATTTTTTATTTTTTCTTCCCTTTCACAGCATTCTCTTTCTTGCATGGCTGCTTGGTTGTCAATAGCAACAAGATTTAACTGTGAAAGCTCCACTATTTCACTTGAAGATGCATAAATAAGCCAGTTAGATGAAAGAAAAGGGAAGAAACTCACAACAGTACTAATAATGATCAGTGTTTTACCAACCTAGAATCCTAGAGGTAAAAGAAGAGCAGATTTTATTATTTCTCTTTTGAATTAATGTCTTCTCTTCTGAAAGCATAAAATATCCACTTTAATGTGTGATTGTAATGTATATCTGCTTGTCTAATTTAAAATTAGGTGAATGGAGCCTTCTTTAAAAGGTAAGAGAAGAAAAAAAATTCTAAGTTAAATTTGATTCAATTGAGACACTAATTTAACCATTGATCCAGAATGATTGCTCTGTATTTTAAAAGACACATATTACATTCGCTTGCTAGATATTTTGTTTAAGTTATAACAAATTAGTATTCTGTTTTATTGTTATTTTTAACTTAAAAAGAACTCACTATATCTGGATGTTGACATATTCTTAAAATTGAATGATGAAATGGATCAGATCTAATTTAAGCAAACAGCTAAAAATAAATCAAAGCATAAATACATTCTGGATCACATATTAGGAAAAACTGTTTATGACTCTGGTAAGGAATGAAACAGAAAAATATAAAAGGATACTGTTTCTTTAGTACCTTTTAACTGCCAATTTTGAGTAATATAATTTATCAAGAAAAATATTTTAGACAATGGCAAAACAAGTCAATAAAGAATAGCAAACATCATTATTTTCTAACTAGCTGTATTAGTACCAGGCCGACAAACAGTTCTATATAGTTTATTTCCTTATAATATCTTAAAGTTGGGTCACATTTCTTCCTACTTAACATAAATTAGCCTGGATGTACACAAATTTGGTAAATTTTATAGTAGAAATATGTATACCTGTTAAAACTTTAGCATAAAATTTTAGCCAGTATATCATATTTTAAAATTTGCATTTTTAAACTATATAAAACTGTATTAAAAATTTTTTTAAATGTTAAACTTGGAATAAATTGCTTCCACACAGTCTGGGGTCTAGTCTCTATTGGTGGATAAGGAAATTTTCCTAGGCAATGATCATCACAATTTTTGTAAAGGTGCCAAAAATAAACGCTTTGCATGCATGCTTTTCTTTGTGTGTCTGTGTGCATGTCTGTGTGTCTCTGTGTGGTTCAGTGCACCACAAGCACCTCTAAAATGGAATTCATTAGTACCATATATCCAGAAAAATCTACCCCTTTTTTTTCCATGATAATTTGTTCCCCTATAGCCATTATAGAATAATGACCTGAGTAAACTCACACAACATAGCCAGCAAAGCCATTTGGTTATAACTTACAACTCTAGAACTCCCTCCTGCAGCTTGCCCTACAACCACAGCTTCCATTCCTCTGAGGGGCCTCAGGGATATTATACCCTTAACTATATGTTGTTAAAATTCATAGAGTTCTGATAATTTTATGAAATTATAAGTCATATAAACCACAGAAATTAAATTATTCAGGGATTAACTTTTCTTGCCTGCTAAAAACAGGTTTACAGGTTTGGAGACAGCCAGGAGCTTTGGAAAGCATTAAAGAAAATGAGGAATAAGAAACCTTAAAGAACTAAGCCTTCTAATCCAAAGATATACCTGTTTTCTTATGTACAGCTTGATTATTCTAAAAGATTCTAAAATGTCCAAGTATTAGACCAAGTATAGCCTTTAGAAAGGAAATAATAGAAGCGGTAGACTGAAATGCAGATGTGGTTACCACATGACTCAGCCTGGAGGCACACAGCTCCTAAGCAAGCAGCACAGCAGAATCCATATGCTCCCTTGCAGGTGACAAATGCCAGGTACATAAAGGAACGGTGTGCCCTTGCACTGCAAGTGGTTCTACCCCCTATCCCTAATCATCATATAGAACAAAGCAAAGACTCCAAAAAGTTCTCCACACCATAACTTTAAATTTTATGTTTTTCACTGTTGAAAAAGTTGGTATTAGCCCTGCAAACGCTATTCACAGTTATCCAACTTGGTATGTTTGTAACACCAACATCCAGGACAACAGAACCCACAAGTTCATGTAAAGTAAGAACCTGGATGATCCCAACTTCTGGTGCACTACTTCATAAATATTGAAGATATATAATTATTCATCAGACTTCAATATAAGATTAGAGAACAGAAATCTAGCAAGTTCATACATTATCTTCATATTTTTATACTTTCTTCCCTAAAAGTAACTGTTTCAAAAACCACTTCTGCCTTATTTAGAAAATGAAACTGTAAACAAGGCAATGATGAATATGTTAATTCATCAATGAGTTTAAAAATCTATCCCAGGGACAAAGGAACTGAAAACCACCACTATCTTTCATTTGAACTTAGAACAATTTATCCAGTGGAAACTATAAACATAGTAATTATAGAAAATATAAAATCAACTTTAAACACTCAACATACAGAAAAAATACAACTAAACATGAGTTGCAATGTGTGTTTTTCTAGTAATGAACACTGGCTTTGTTATTTGCTGGCATGCAAACATTTGGCAGATAAGAGAAATGAGGACTGGCCAAAGAGTCTGTTGTTCCTAGGTTCACTGTATAAATGATGCCCAGAAGCAATGTTTGCATGTGTCCTCCATATCCCAAGCCATAATTTGCATGGAAATAAAAAGGTGCATAGCAAAATGGAGACGAGGTTATATATATCTTATAGTCCAATGCATACAAAATTGATACTAAAATATCTCTTTACAGAACCCACTTATAGTGGAGCTCAAGGAACACCTATCTGCACTCCATTTACAACATGTCTGGGTACCAACTCCATCAATTGCTGACTGATCTTTAAAATATATATTTAAAAAATAAAATAAGTAAAGACTGGCTTTTAACCTACTAAATAATACAGCAAACTTTAGGATCATTTTTAGTGACTCCAACTTGAAGTTGTCTAACTTGGAACTGTCTATACAAATCTCTATAATTTTTACCCTTCACAGCTAGAAATAAAAACTAGCCTTGCATGAACTGCACTTTTAAAGTAAGTGTCTCATCTCACTTTGGAGAAACTTCCATAAAATGACTTTTCAAATCCACCACTGGCTTCATGACAGGAATGTGACTGTGGCCCCTTCCATTCTATCACTCCCCACTCTGTGAAGGACTGTGTGAAAGTCTTTCAAAACTATGTATAGTAAAAGCCATGCTTTTTTCTCTGAAATAACAGTTTGCGGTTTTTTCCCCTAGTAAACAACATGAATTATTTAAGTAACAACACTTCCATTTTTCCTTTAGCTACTAGAGGCAAAGAGCCAAATTATAAGACATATTTAGTTTCCTATGGCTTACATTTCTGCAGTTTATTAATGCTCTTTCCAACATGTTTTATTTTAACCCTCTTATTCCCTTTAGTCCTTGTTAATTATTTTTATATTTTATTGCATGAAGTCCTAAAAGTTAATTTATACTTTTCCAAACAAGAAAAGACATAAAAACGAAATAAATAAACCAATTCTATTTATATTTCAAGGTATCTTCTAAAGAATCAAAAATAGAAAGTGACTGAACAGCAGGTTTCCACACTGCAATGTTAGCTGAGATTTATCCTTCTTTGAATCACATATTTTATGTAAGAAAATTTATAACAACAAAATGAAAGCTCTTCGGGGCTGGGATTGTGGCTTAGTGGCAGAGCACTTGCCTACCATGTGTGAGGCACTGGGTTCAATTCTCAGCATCACATATAAATAAATAAAATAAAGGTCCCTTGAAACTAAAAAAAATTTTTAAAAAATGAAAGCTCTTCAATTACTATACTAATATAAAGATAGGAGATCTCTGTAATTCTCCCTTATCAAATTACATTTAATGGTGATAATGATATACACATAGAAATGTTCAATGTAGTATATTTTATAAAAATACAATATTGAAAATCAGTTAGTGTACATAATCAGGATTATTATGGTACATCTTCATAATAGCATACTGTATAACCATTTAAAAGAATAAGTCAGTTTACATTAACTGATAAGAAATGATCCTTATATTAAAAAAATCAAGATACAGAATGGTTTTTACTTCATGCTATAATTTTATGAAAAGGGTAAACTTTGGAAATGTTTAGAATTATCTTCAAAAATTAATAGAAAATAGTGGTTTTTCTGATGGGAGTTGGAAATAGATGTTAGAAAAACAGGTAAGTAAGGCAGTCTTCTCTCTCTCACACACACTCTCTCTCTCTCTCTCTCTCTCTCTCTCTCAATATTTCTTTTAATTTTTTACTTAAACATGCATGTCTTCCTTTTTAAGAAGATGAGTTAAGTTGATAATTCAATGAAGACTAGAATAACTAATGGAAAAAAATATATGCCCCTACAATTTTAATTCACTTTTTAGGAATATTTTTGGTACAACAAT